AATCCCAATCGAACTCGCGCACTTCCACCGAAACTGGGTGACTGCGCCCTACTAGATGGGGATTTGTATGCAAAATGTCACTAAAAGCGCCATTTCGTTCTTATAAAAGCACGGATGACCGCGATTGGCCCATATATTGTAGTCTTTTGGACGCTGAGTCGACTAGTTTTGGTCCGAAAAGGCTGCGATGCAGCGTTCCTCCTTTATTCCCAATCGAACATGGTTGAAGAAGCGGTCACGTGCTCCTGCGTACACCAGTCACCTGGTCACCGTGCCTGCAGGGTACAACTTACTAGCCTGTTTGACCTTTTTTGGGTGCAGTCCTGTCACTCGAGTTGAACTCGAGTTGAACCTTGGTGTGAAAGTTGTCGCCTGCTGGCGCGGTGACCAGGTGATTTGGGCACCCAGGAGCACGTGACCGCTTGTTCAACCATGTTCGATTGGGAATAAAGGAGGAACGCTGCATCTCAGCCTTTTCGGACCAAAACCAATCGACTCAGCGTCCAAAAGACTACAACATATGGGCCAATCACGGTCATCCGTGCTTTTATAAGAACGAAATGGCGCTTTTAGTGACATTTTGCATACAAATCCCCATCTAGTAGGGCGCAGTCACCCAGTTTCGGTGGAAGTGCGCGAGTTCGATTGGGATTCAAGTAGGAAGGGAGCGTCGCAGCTTCCTCGGACCAAGACCATTCGACTCAGCACCCAGAAGACTACAACTGGTGAAAATTTGATTTTAGGGTATACTTCCCCTTTAAACAAATGGCGTCTAGCCTCATTCTATCATATGCTCCTGTAGTAGCTCACACTGTACCCCATCGTAACCCCATCCCCCTGCAATGTGTTGGTTTCCTTACTTGCTAGACTGATTTTATATGATTCTGGACTGATTTGAATCATATTATCTTCTTTATTGGCCATGGGCCATTGTGGAAATAATAATAATGCTCATCCTGCAAACTCTACATTTCAGTCCATTACCCCGGAAATGGCTGCTGTTGGGCCCACTTGCTGGATTTTTCTCAACCAGGTTGGTCATTCTTTGACTGCTGCGATAAATACATTTACGAGCGAAAGGAGAATGTGGTGTTGCAATGAATAATTTATGTTCGAATTCGTGTCCGGAGACCATCTTTGTGATCAAACCTCAAGTAGCTGAGTAGTTCCTGGAAACTATTTTTAGGGATTTTACTTGATTATATGGTGTCCATTCCTTTCCAGCCGAAGGACCGTTGGCAGATTATTGCAGGTACAGAGGACGCCTCTTGCGTAAATTTGCGAAAGCAATGCCATGATATTGCCTTCACTCAAAATAGAGTCCTCTCCAATTTTCTGTTTACCCTCCTACGTTGTGCACTTGATCATGACATGGATCATATTCTGGTCAACGAGAGAGCTTGGAAGCTCAGGGCCCTACGCTATGCTGACCTAGACAAAAAAAAGCATAGGGATGTTATATATTCATATAAATTTCTACTTTTTTTTTAAGACATAACCTGGGATTCGAACCCGCACTATTGCCCGGCATGCATCCCCCGATACACTTCGCATACATACGAATTCATCCAAGTTGCTTCACGTTATGATCTTGCATTTGAAAGCCCTATTTGAATATGCATTGTGGCCAGCCGTCTTTGATGGCACGGTACGGTACGGGACAGATACGGGACAGGTACGGGACAGGTACGGGACAGGTACGGTCGAGGTTAATGCGACACCGTCTACAGCCTTGATGACCTAGGCAAAAAAATGCTTAGGGATGTTATAAATTTTTCAATTCTCCTATTTTTTTAGGCATAAACTGGGATTCGAACCCGCACTATCGCTCTACATGCATTCCCCCATCATATACACTTCGCATTTATACTCATTCTTCCAAGTTGCTTTACGTTATGATCTTGCGTTTGAAAGCCCTATTTGAATATTGCAGGCAGCTGTATGTGGCCAGCTGTGTTTGATGGTACGGTACGGTATGGGACAGATACTGGATAGCGCCAGGCGTGACACAAACACACAAACACACAAACAAACAAACACCAAATTAAAGCTGTGTGGACCCTGGCTAGCGCCAGACGTTACTAAAGTAACGTCTTCTGCATAGCTACGGGAATAAATGCAAATAATGCATCTGACCCATCTTCAAAACTGTGAATATCTCGAAAAAGCGCGTAAACTTCGGAAGCAACAACCGGTTGCGCGCGTTCGCACTTGCTTGGTGCAACACATTTTCTACTATCTACCAACTTTGCCAGAGAACCCAGCTTCATGAAGGAAATCCTGCCCGAGTTTTGGACATTGATGTTCTGTTATGTGTATGGCTCCATAGCTTTATCACCACCATTATCCGCTTGCTCCCTCGACTCCGGTCACGTATCAGACTGATCGAGAAGCCGGAGCAATTAGTATTCACTCATCTTCATCTAGAGCATATAACTATGTGTCTCTGTGTTCGGTCACTTCTAATTACTTGCGCACAATGCTCCAGGCACTCTCCTCGCATTCATCCCCAAACTCCTGCCGAACATTTTTCAAAATCAAATGAAATGCTTTATCGGCAGCGACACTGCGCCTACTGAACATGGCTTCTGCCAGACCAACGTAAATTCAAAGAACGTTCCTAGAACATTATAAATGCCCTGGCACTTCATATCGTTCTATGCTGCAGATGACATAGTGAATCACTTTCCAAACTTAGGACAAACAAATTTGTCTGTTTCGGCAGGATTCGGGATTACGATATTGACCATAACGGCACGTGAAATGTGCATATTAGCATGTCCATATGTACAAATCACCACCTTCATGGTCCCCAATCTCCTTGCTCCTAAATGTATTCCTCTTCACGTTATTCACGTGTGGTTCTAAGCCAAATTCGGCCTTTTACTGATGCCTATGGTATGTGGAGTCATATGATGCCGCGCGGTAGTTCAAGGTAGCACCCCCTGGCATTTCGGAACTGTACTAAATTTTTGAAAACACAACCCACTGCCATTAACAAAATACAAAATAAGTAAAAGTCACAAAATTTGGGGAGATTCTAAGCCCCCATCTAACAGCAATCCCATTTTGAAATTCGCAAATGCATCATATGATGCCTCCGGTAGTTCTAGGGCTAAGGGGGCACCCTGGTCGTAAAATCCCTGAGAAATGGAATTTGTTAATTCATATCGAGTGCTATATCAGTTGAAAGAGCATGAACAGCTGCAAAATCTCTGAAAATCTTGTCTCGATCTGACCAGCCGTTCAAGAGTTATGGCCGAAAATATGCCCTTGCAAGGAAAGATTTTGTTGCACGCTGTCATTTGTTGGCAGCACTGTATTTGAATGTGAGCAGACCGTGCGCAACTTGTCGTATCATGGAAACACGCGAAAGTGTTCAGAATTTTGCTCCAAGTCCAAAAATCACGTTTTTTAACCACGTATTGGGCTGCACGGCGGCGGGCTGCAGCAGGACCTTTGCCAGCACCCTCGTGAAATTGCAGATATGTGGCTTGATTATTGTAGTTGACGTTGATTTAGTGACTTTGGCAAGTTTGAGTCATGTCAAGAAGTCATGTAGGATTCAGTACTAGGCGGTAACTGAGTGGTAGTCTTTGCCGATTTTGAGGGTATCTGGATTTGGTTTGCAGCTCTGTGGAAATGGCATGCTGTGGAGGTCCCAGCACTGGATATTGTATCAAAGGTACGACCTCGTAGGACGCCCTGAACCTAAAAAAAATTCAAAAATTGACTTGGGTCTGTTGGAAACTGTGATAGAACGCCCACTCCTGCCATTGTGACAGATTTCAGGGCCACGTTGAAGGGCCCTATTCCACCCATGGCTGCTTCTGGACGTTTTTTAGGTTTGGATCCCGCGCACGGACAGAATTGGCTAGAAAATGTGAAACATTGTAGTTGTTTGGCTCCTGGGTGGCTCGCACACCATGGCACTATGCCGGAATTTTGAGTTTTTCCGGTCTTGAAAGCCTGTCAGTGAGGCGCAAGAACTTTTAAATCATGTCCAAAAGGCCGTCATAGTGACAGGAGTGCGTGGTGCAAATTTCACTTAAATCCATTGAGAGACACCAAGGGTACGATCAATTGAATGCCATATGAAATTTAGGACCAAGCTGCTACCTTTAAAGTCAATTGCAACATACATTTCGGCCCCGCTGGACTCATAAGGCAATCTTCATCTTGGATGCCTTAACACGGAGCTTGACTCGAGAAAATAAAGTTAAAGACATCGCTGCAGCTGTACTTATGGTTGATTCATATGTTGAGTCCAGCCGGGACGAAAAGTACATCGCAATAGAGCTATTTCGTTGCTGTTTTGCCATTGTCGCGTGAGTAAGCCGTACTTGCATGGTATCTCATGGCGTAAATCAGTTGAATAAATGTGTAGAAAAAGATGTCAGGACACAAAGCACAGAAGCCATGTTGGACAATGGTGCTGTTAATAAAATGGGAGCAAAATATCGAGATTTGAGGTTAAATTAATGCCTGATACGCAGAATTCCTTATATCTTTCCCGTTCAGCATGATACAATGCCCCGTATGAGATCACGTCTACGAAATATCACTGGGATTCACTGTGGATCAACATGATTTTGAAGAACCCAAGGACACGTGTGTGAAAACCCGTACTGAGAAACCGACCGTGCGATTTTTATGAAACGTACGGCAAGTGGATGGAATACACGATTTTCCATAGCAAAATAGAGCAAAAATAACAGGTTTCTAGTGCCAGGCTCGGCAAAATATCGAAGACTTCGCAGCAATATTTTGCGGCATTATATCGAGGAGCGCGGAGCAGAATCCGTCTTGGCCTAACTCCCATCCTGCCTGCGGATTATGCTTTTTCCAGAAATTTAAAGTTTTGATTCTTGTAGTATTCATTGCTATGAGTGTATTCAAATCTCAGTCTGCAGAGCAAAACGCTCCCATTGCTGGCTACTGGAGCGGACAGGTCAAATCAAAGAACAGCATTCAAAACAGAGCTTTCCTTATGAACATACCTTTTTTTGCTGGTGTGGGAGTTGGCAATGCCAGGCAAATTGCAATAAATAAGGCAATGGTGTCCTGCAGAAAACAAACAAACAAACACAGCCAATTTCAACTCCCTCATGCTTTTGGATATATCAGAGATGGGGAGGAAATTCCCCCAAGACAACAAGTCAATAGTAGTCGTAGATTTTTCTTGTGACCAGACGAGATCACACCACGCTTGCAGACACCAGCACGTAGGGTGCAGCGGATAATGCCCGCATTATATTCGGCATTATGAGACTTTCCGAGCATCAGAGCATTATGGAGCATTAGAAGGGAGCAATGCGAGCATTATGTGTGGTTTCAGCGGCGTAACGAGTTTCATAGTGGATAATGTCGGGAAATGTCAGGTTTTTGCATGGATGAAGGAGCAGCTATAAACAGACAGAGCTTGTTCCAAACAATTGCCTTTGCCGAGTCCAGCTCAGCAGGCTCGAAAAGAACTAAAATTTCTCATGGACGCAGTACCGTAAGTCGATTTCAGTGCTCAACAGCGCATGTCTTACTTTCCTGGTGAACCACGTACAGTTTGTCGTGGACGCTAGTACAGTGGAAATTGGATATAACGTCACTCCTTCAGGAGAAAATTAAATATCCCTATATTTGATCTGTCACAAAACCCGATCTTCACATTTAGTGTGCAATATGTATGTCAAAATGACAGAATGTTTTCCAGATACGCATGTGCATAAAATAATGCATAATGGATTTCAGATGTGCATGTGCATGTGTCTTGCATGCATAATTCAAGCCAAAGGTCAGGCATAGCAACCGCACCGCTGCACTACGGCGACAATGTGCAATGATCAGCACGCGTGGAGTGACCCAGAGGTTCCGGTATGTGACACAGACATGTCCCATGCATGCCACTCCGCCTGATACAAGAAGAAAGCTGTTAAATTCGATGCATTTTCAGGTCTTCGGGCACCAAAAAGTGTCAGTAAATTCGATCTGTCGTTATTTTCGAGGTCGTGATACCCGATCTATAATGTACAGAAAGGACTTGCACAACGACTTGGGTAACAGAATTTTGTCGCTAAACTTGATTTGTCGTTACATCCAAGGTCGTTATATCCAAGGTCGTTATATCCAAGGTCGTTATATCCAAGGTCGTTATATCCAAGGTCGTTATATCCAAGGTCGTTATATCCAAGGTCGTTATATCCAAGGTCGTTATATCCAAGGTCGTTATATCCAAGGTCGTTATATCCAAGGTCGATATATCCAATCTCCACTGTAATGTAAAGCCTACAGTTAAGTGCTATCAGAAAAGAAGAGTATTATGACCAACCATTTGCCTCCATGCAACCTCAGGAGAAGAAGACAGCGCAAGCAGAGGATGTAGAGCGGCAAAATAACTTCTGACCACGTGTGTTCAGGATTTCCGCAAATGGGAGGGATCCCGATCTGAGATCGTCTCTAAGGAATTGGCCTAACTCGAGCTGTTTCGGATGAAGCCATTTTTCACAGAGTGGAAGCAGTGACAGTTTGTCTGCACGCAGGAATATCACTTCCCATGATAAGCTTCCAGCATCCAAATGATCACCAGCAATAGTGGTTTCACATCTCACTACATGGATAAGCAAGGGAAAAGATTTGATACACCCACTATTCAGCCACAGGCCTTCATCAAAGTTGCAATGGAGAGCAGCCGATGGAGACGCGATCATGTGTTATAGTGCTAAGAAGTGGTGGAGCTCCTGAGAGATATTGTAGCAGCTTCAGAGGCAAATCGACTATATGCATAATTTCCTCGAAGTTTGACAATGTGCAGCCTTTCTTCCATTCTTGTTCCAAACCAAGAGCATTGTGGAAGCATTATCCATTGGACCCTACCAGCACGCAAACTTCATCAGCCACCCTCCACGACAGCTAGAAGTTGCTCCTGACAAGCCTTGTTTAGTTGTATTATGATAACGGAAACTCAGAGGAGAGGCACAATTTGAATAAATTACAACCATCATCACGAGTATCCTCAAATTGCAGTGGTAATTTCTTTTAACCAGATGAGACCAGACGACGCTTGCAGATACAAGCACGACCACTGCACCAGTCACACTCCATAAAGGCTAGAAGTTGCGCCTGACAAGCCTAGTTTTGTTCCATTATGATGTTGGGAACTCATCAGAGGAGAGGTAGATGTTTGGTTAACTAAATGATATTGGCGCAATGTGTGTACACTCAACGAACTATCATGTGTGACAAATCAACACGAATGGAGTAGTGTAGAACTGAGGTGTTATGAACCCTACCGAAACAACTATCACAGATGCTAAGTCAATGACAAGGAGAAAAGAGGTACACAGAATAGGTTGCGCTAAAAACGCTACACGTCACAAAGTCTCCAGCCGTGGTAACAAAGATGCGTGTAAAGTGGTAGAAGCCGAGTGACAGCCAACAAAATCATTTTCGACGTCTAACGTCACATTCGAAAGCTGCTAACTAGGTTTTTGAAAGAAAAATCTACCACTACTATTTGACGGCCCTACTGAAGATGGTATCAACAAATTACCCTCAAATTGTTGTTGTCTCAATGTTTATTTAATTCCACTGGATATTTCTCAGCACAAATAGTAGGGTTCCCTTTCTGACAAGAAGATAGCATTTTCTCGGCCCATAACAAATTGAAATAATATAATGCAACTCAAATGATATAAAGCACGCGCACCAATATTGATATTTCTGACTGTTTTGAACTGGCTCTAGACGAGAAAAATGGCTGATGCTTGTGGAAACATTTGCTGCACTCGCGTAGTTGTTTTTACTGCGATATGTTCTAACAATAATGAGATGCCTTTTGTTGGCTCTTCTGCCTGGATTTCGTTGACAGATGCGTTAAGCCCATGGATGCTTCCATTAGTGACATGCGAACTGTAACTATTATTATTATTATTATTTGGAAAGGTTTGGGAGAACTTCAATTTCAAATGATCAGTCAGGGAAGTGAACTGCCTGAAAAGAGAAAAAAACTTGTCAGCGCCTTCTAGGTTCAGCCTGGTCCCATAGCTCAGTGGTTAGAGCATTGCTCATGACAAGCAGGGTCCCAGGTTTGAGTCCTGGTGGGTCTGGCGTTTTTTTTTCTTTTCAGGCAGTTCACTTCCCTGACTGATCATTATTATTATTATTATTATTATTTTCGTAATAAGTATTCGCATGCAACGACGCAAATCCACACAATTCAGTAGACACTTCTTTTCTATCAAACGTTTTCTTTCCCTTCTCTTCAGGATAGTACAGGGAATGTTGGAAATTTGGAAAAAAAACACATAACTATATAGAAAAATAGAGAAAAAGTCAACACTTCAACATAGGCGACAAAATGACTAAAGTGTGAAAAAAAATTCGAAAACAAAAGCAGCAAGTTGTAGACAAACACGTTGAACACATCAAGAAGCACTTGTCACACTTTCACGAGGTGCGACACCAAACAACTGCAACGATAACACATTCTCCTTCTGTACACATAGTTCTGGATCTAGTTTACGAATATACAGAGCTTCTAACACAGCAAGATGTAACTTAGACCTTCCACGAGTTAAAACCGAAAAGACATCATCACTATACAACTCACGACAATTAGCACTTCCCGACAAATGACGCTTGATGGACGATCTCTGATCATTTAGCTCTGTCACCTTCGACGTTTGCCGTTGTTCTCTTCCGTTGGGCTTGTTGACACCTCCAACGTCCTTTGAATTCATGGTCGTTTTTGTTTGACTCCTCGGTCTTCCTCGCTTCCTCTTGTTGATCGTTGTTGTCACTTCCAGTACCGACGTATTCAAATCTCCAGTACTTCGTCTCTTCACCTTGCTTCTGGCAACTCTTCCGGTGTCCGTGAGCTCCGGTGTCACATTGGGCGGTTTTCGGGATGGTCTTCCTCGCTTCCTCACGCTAGTCTGAGATGGGTCAAGCTCCCCGCCCGTCGAGGCGGAGGCGCGCATGCGTACATCTACACTGGACGCAGACAAAGGCGTTCCAGTATCGGACTGCACAGCACATTTTGGAGGACGGCCACGACGAGGACGAGTACCACGAGCGTCAACAGGGACAAGACCTAACGGCACATGTTGACGGATGCATGCACCCAGGTGTTGAAGGGTTCTACCTACGTACCGATCTTCACATTCTCGGCACTGAAAAAAATAGATAAGGTTGCTTCTACTAAGGGTAGGTAGAACGTCCTTCTTCACACTGAACGCACGCGTCGTTCAAAATACTAAATACAATTTCACGCACGGGTAAGACGAACAGACAATGTTGCGCACCTCCTTCTCGACGCGGGCAGAACCAGCGCCCACCCAGGGTAAGCGGAGTACCACGGGGCACCTGTCCGGTCCAAATGGTTTCGGATTATCCATTGTTTGTCAAAATTGACGTGAGCCGCCTCAGTTCTTCTTGAAGATGGTGAGGAGAGCAGATTCGATGGGCACGATAGACTATTGCTTTGACAAGGTGAACTTTGGATTTAGTTGGTGTGTAGCTTCCCCATGGAATATACAAGCCAGTAAAGGTGGGTTTTCGCGGGGAGCTTGACCCATCTCAGACTAGCGTGAGGAAGCGAGGAAGACCATCCCGAAAACCGCCCAATGTGACACCGGAGCTCACGGACACCGGAAGAGTTACCAGAAGCAAGGTGAAGAGACGAAGTACTGGAGATTGGAATACGTCGGTACTGGAAGTGACAACAACGATCAACAAGAGGAAACGAGGAAGACCGAGGAGTCAAACGAAAATGACCATGAATTCAAAGGACGTTGGAGGTGTCAACAAGCCCAACGGAAGAGAACAACGGCAAACGTCGAAGGTGACAGAGCTAAATGATCGAACATCGTCCTTCAAGCGTCATTTGTCGGGAAGTGCTAATTGTCGTGAGTTGTATAGTGATGATGTCTTTTCGGTTTTAACTCGTGGAAGGTCTAAGTTACATCTTGCTGTGTTAGAAGCTCTGTATATTCGTAAACTAGATCCAGAACTATGTGTACAGAAGGAGAATGTGTTATCGTTGCAGTTGTTTGGTGTCGCACCTCGTGAAAGTGTGACAAGTGCTTCTTGATGTGTTCAACGTGTTTGTCTACAACTTGCTGCTTTTGTTTTCGAGTTTTTTCACACTTTAGTCATTTTATCGCCTACGTGGAAGTGTTGACTTTTTCTCTATTTTTCTATATAGTTATGTGTTTTTTCCAAATTTCCAACATTCCCTGTACTATCCTGAAGAGAAGGGAAAGAAAACGTTTGATAGAAAAGAAGTGTCTACTGAATTGTGTGGATTTGCGTCGTTGCATGCGAATACTTATTACGAAACTGTTTCCCCACCGCCTCCAAACTACTGTTTGAATTATTATTATTATTTTTAACTCGATTATTATATTTTTTGGAAGTGAAGTGAACTTATGCAGCGAAGAGACCGTAGTTGGAGAGTTTGAAGAGAGGTACCCTGTAATGTGTGAGTGGCTGCAATGGAGTCTGTGAGTGCTTAGAAAAACGGATACTGAGCCAGTAATAAAATGTAAAAAAGAGAATAAACACATGAGAACATGTTAGAAGCTGTTTGTCAACGTATTCATACGCCTAATCTGTGAGTCCAGAAGGACAGCATTATTCGTTTGAAATTGTTTTAGTAGCAGTTGGCATTATTATTATTATTAGTATTGTGGAAAGGAAAAGGACATATGGATACGAGTTAAGAGTAACTCTCCATCACTGTAACTGGATACTGTATACAGTCAGAAAGTGCAAAAACTAGGCACAAAACTGACAAGAGTACTGAGACATTCGACGTCCTGACACCTAGCTTCAACACATCTCCGTAGCGCTAACCGACAGCCTTCCAACTTGGAAGGTTCAAGGTTATGGAAATACCAAAGAGGGGAAGGCAAGCGCAACGAAAACGAGTAAAAGCTATAGTCCCAACGAAAAAAAGAATGTCGATTGCTACTGGACGATGACGAGACCAGTACGATGTTTGACTAAGCGGTCTAACTACAATTCGAAGCAGCAAAGCAGCACACCACCCAACTTGGGTGGGTCACAAATATCAAAGATAAGTAAAGAAAGGGGAAGCTTTGCGAAAACGAATTGTACAAGCCGAAAGCCAAACTCCTACAGTACTCCTCATGCATGGCATTGTAATGGACTAGTTGACTACAACAAAAGTTGTTTCACACGACGTACGTTTCGCCGTATGGTTCGTGACGGCTCATCAGGTGTGCAATTACTGTAGGAGTTCGGCATATAAGTAGGATGTACCTCTCGATTATAAGTCGCATCCCCTTCTTTGCTCTTGAAGTTTAGTGTAAAAAGTTGCCACTTATACACGACTAGTTGACTGTACACACTACAGTACAGCATATACTGTCATGTAGTTCTGTAGTAGCTCACACTGTACCATCGTAACCCCATCCCTCCGAAATGACTATGTGTTGGGTGCCTTACTTGCCACATTAATCTTATAATTATGATTGTGGACTGATTTGAATCACAAGTATCTTCCTTATTGGCCATAGGCCATCGTGGAAATGAAGAATTTCTACACGCACATGTACACATTGAAGATCACTGCCTGCCATAAACACTGCCTGTGCCGATTTACTTGTAGCAGATGGCATTATGGAAATGACATTCAAAGATTTCAAAGAATGTGTCAAATATTAACATCAACCCATTCAATGTTTCAAACAGATCGATTGGGTCAGTTCACTTTCTGCGCATTTTCTTGGGAAGAAAATTATAATTAACAAAGTATGTGTGCAAGTCGATCTCTCCAATTTCACTCAAAATTTGCAGGTAGGTTCAATTATGGGTGAAGATCGACTTAGCAAAGCCCTTGAAAGAGTGCTTGAAGGAAACCTTGAAACCTGAAAAATGGTTTATAACTCACAGGATTAAAGACTCTCCAATCAAGTCACGCCACTCCCGGTGTGGGAGCTGGTGTGGTCGGATTTCACTCCAAATACACCAACTCCGGACTCGATCAGATTCGGTCAAACGATTGCGCTCACTCCGAGCGCACTTGCTCGTGAATTCGCCCAATCGATCATGCCCTTTAAAAAGTAGGAGAAATGGAAAATTTATAACATCCCTATGCTTTTTTTGTCTAGGTCATCAAGGTGGAAGGCGGTGTCGTATTACCCTCAAATGCAAAGAGAAAGTAGAATTTCGCTCGGCAAAAAAAGCATAGCGTAGGGCCCTGAGCTTCCAAGCTCTCTCGTAATTTTACTTGGAAAAAGTGACTGAAGTTTTTAAATTTTACTGCAAAATTCAAAGTTTTTTTAGGCTGCGACGAGTTTCAACTGATGGGTGTCATTAGAAAACGTTTTAGAACTAATAATAATAATAATTCCAAGTTGGAAGGTTGTTGGTTTGCGCCTTGGAGAAGTGTTGGAGCTAGGTGTCAGGTCGCCGAATGTCTCACTACTCCTTTGTCAGTCTTGTGCCATTTTGTCGCACTCGCTGACTGTCTAAGATCTGGTTACGTTGTAGGACAATAATTATTAGTCATAACTCGCAACATGTTGTCCTCCTTTCTCGTAGTAGAGCCCCCCCCCCCTTCCCAACCCAAATCGCAGTTCTTCCTGTCGTGTCTGTTGAGTCGTGATAGTAAGGCATTCTATACACAAGTCAATGGAGTGATTTGGTTTGCAAGAAGAAATATCGTTATAAGGGCAGGTCGACTGTAGTAGTTCGTTGAGCCGTGTGACTCGTGTTCTTTGACCTCTCCTCAAACAACCATTAGCCTTAGGAAGATCGTTATTGGCAAAATACTACACTGCAACGTACCGTTGTGGCCAGTTCCATGTAGCAGAGCTGTGTTTCTAATTTCTCACCAATTTGGAAGCCAATAGGCCAACAATTCCTTTTGCCAATGTCCCAATATATTCCAATTTTGCAGCTGATTTTCGAACCATCAGCTGATATTGCAGCCGAATCCGATGCAATTTTGAGCTAAGCGAAAAGCGAATAGGCGAAAAAATGGGCCGATTTGGGGAAAGCCTAACTGATGATTCGCATTAACTTAAACTTGTTTTATTCTAGGAATGGGTTTGCTCCCAAACTGAAGCTCGCGCTATTCCGCTAACTTGACTTAACACTTGACTGACTCACGACTGCCATCCAGAGCACACGAGAAGTCCATCGAACCTGCGACTCGGCATTGTTTTATTCATTGCCATTTTTAGATTAGACACAACTACTCATAACCAAGATGTGCAGTCGAAAGTAATAGCTAACAATAATGGTGGTCTCTTACCATCCTAAAAGCCATTGTGGACCAGCTTAGTCGGCAGCAGTGTGGTTGTAACAAGTGGACACTCTCGTCCCCTCCTTCTCCCTAGTCCCTTATTCTTGGCGAATGAGAGTCGATTCTCCTTGGTGTGGCATTAATGCCCCGCAGCACACCCAGCTACAGGCGGGCTTCTGAGTGTAAGGTGCCGCAAAGGGAGCTTGCCGAGTCTCTAATGGTGGCCCTCCTCCGCGTTGGCTGAACATCACCACTTGATCATGCGGTGGGCGAGCAACGGGTCCAGACAGCGCATCTCTATGGTCATATATGGGTGTTTGTATTCGCACGACAGCTTCTTATGGGTAGGCGAATTGCCATCTGTTCACTTTGGCACTGGCACGAAGATGTCGAGATCACTTCTGCACAGAGTCGAAACGGGCCATATCAATACGAACACTGTCGAAGTTGACACTCCATTGATCCTAATTATTGCAATTCGAGAACCCCCGCGGCCCGACACAAGCATAAATCACACGAGGTCATTTTCTTTTTGTTACTGACCGGTTTCATCTTTTTGGTAAAGAATCATCAGAGTGAAAGGAGTAAAGAACATACATACCATTAGTAGGGCCAACTCGCTTGGCCAAAACTAACTATGATACAAGTGGACCCATCAAAGCCGCTGGGAGCCCAAAGAGGCACAGGGGTAGGGGTAATTGAACTGTGATCAAGGAAGCAAGCGAATGTGAAGGGTGCCGTGTTTGGACTAGACTCTATAGTATAAATTTATTATAACACAGTACACGGGAATTGTTGGCATGGCAGTGTCCAAATTTGGACACTGCCAAACAAATATTATTATTGGAATTAATTTGAGAAGCGAAGGACTAAAGGGACGCTGGTCTAGGAGGGCGGCAGTTTTTGCACCATGGCAACCAGGAGTGCGCGCACGCGACAGCCACCAGCGCAAAGCGTTGTGTAGGCTGCGGAGATCCGGAGAGCAGGGAGAGCGACGACACTTCGTCGTGACCCAGGTGAGCGGCTGAGCGCATACATCTCGTAACTCAAAGACAGTGCAGAAGCGAAAAAAGCACTGTCTTTGAATGAACAAGACGTTGGATTAGTTCCTGAAAGTCACTCTACTTGGATTGGTTGGAACTAGCTTCTTTGCTAAACTGTAATGATTTTGTTGAGGAGTGGTTTGAATTCGTTACTTTTCACGACAGCCTGACTTCTGGCTTGCAGTAGAGCTCTCCTTCCGATCCTGTCAATGGTCTCAGATTTGAAAGAATAATACTCGAACAGTGATATTATTATTCGATACATCGCTTGTGGAAGGAAAGGGCGAGTGCTGGCAATCACTCAGTCTTCGCAAGTAGAGAATGTCCCTGCTGATTACCAGGTGAGAGGCAGCTATTCTCTGCTGTGAAACGAAGGGACGATTCTTGAAGTGGAAGAACAATCGTACTAGATGTGCTGATCTACTTGTATGCAATGTCACCCACAGTGTGTACAAACCTGTAGGCTAAAGCCGGTGTTACACTGGGGTTTTCTGGATCTTCAAAGCACCAGAAGTAGTATGTGTACTATTGAAAGCGCCCATTCCGTCTTGGAGGTGTGCATCACATTGACATTGTGCATGGTGTCTTTTACTAGTACATGTGTTTGGTCAGAGTCTCATCTGTGTGTGTGTCTGTCTCTCTGTTTGCTTGTGTGTCGGTGTGTGTGTGCGCGTGCGCGCGCATATGTGCTTATGTGTCTTCATGTGTGAGCAGTGTGTACTTTGAATGTGCCGTGCACAACTGTTTTGTGTGTGTATGCACTTGCAATTGCCTTGCATGCGCTTTGAACATGTGTTCGTGTACGTGCTCCGCAGGACTTGTGATTTTGCCTGACCTTTGAAACCAATTGGACTGCCTGAGTAGTAAGTGCGGGGCAGGTTCTGGCCCACTTTTTGACCTTTGACCTTTGGGCCAAATAAGGCACACTGTGTCGGTCGTGCTTGGTCTGGCCCCGGGACCCCCCAGAGTTTGACCTTTGACCCCTGGCATGCCATAAATGTGCCATAAAGGTTCTTTTCCGTGGCGAACGTGCACTTGTGCACGTTCGGTGCATTCGCACCGTGGAGTAGTAAAATACGTACTATTCCCTGATTTGCACATCGTAGATGTGCATTGCATGCAGTGACATATTGCGCATGCGCGCATACGCACGCGGAGCGTGCGACCTTCAGTGGCTCTACGTGTGGAAAAGACGCAGTGCAACACAAGGTGTACTAGTACACGTGTCATTATACTACTCCCTGATTCGCACTTCGTAGATGTGCAGCAAACAAGTGAGTTCACGTGCCATGCACTCGTTGAGCTCCAAGATCAGAACTCGGCTCAACGTAGTACTTGAAGTCACCGTTCCCATTACGTCATGTACATTTACATACACTCTGTTGAAGCACTGAAACATCGGTTTTCGGGGAATTCAACATGCGAATTTTTGAACATTCGGCGAAAAGATGGGTAATTTCTTCAAAACCACTGTTTTCGGCGAATTTTTCGCCCGGCCGATTTGGGAAATGCCAACTATCCATGCATGTACATTAGATGCATATTTCTATTTTGATCGGGATACAGTAAGAATCAACCGGCTACGCCCGGAGTATCATGCATTAAAACAATTATTGAAGGGGTGTCACAGTGAAGCAGTGTTGCTACGCACCACAAATCCCCTCTGCACTGTACCGAATCTATACTGGAGAATCCAGAGTGGCCAGCAAAGAGTCACAACCCGCGGGTATCCAGTCACACTAAGGCATGTCCACCATTCCCCACATATTCACCATAACAAAACACAATACTGTTTACTATAATACACTTTTATTTAAATAATTGACTTGGATGAGTCTGTAGAAGAGAACACAATGCACGCACACGCACGCATGCGCGGACACACACACGCACACACGCACACACACACATCTAGGTTATAGTGCTATACACGTATCTAGGGTTTAGGAAGCACGAGAATATGTCGAAGCACCCACACATACCCCTTCATGCAGTGTACTTCAGTAGCCCAACACGTTACGACCGCTCAGGACCATCACAAAACACATTACGACCGCTCAGGACCATCACAAAACACTACACACTGTTACTACACTGCATACACAGTTACTACACTACGCCTGTTACAAGTACTTACAAATAATTTTGAAAACAAATGGCACATCCCGAAGACGGCAGCTAGCTCCAGACCTTCATACATACGTCATCATCATCTGTAAAACCAAGCATGAGCGCACACAAACACTATTAGTGTCACGAATACGGAAGCAGGGTAAGACAAGAGGATACGAAACAAGTAAGTATCGCTATAACGAGGGGGGTAAGTATACATGTAGACAGAGCAGTGCTTACTTACAGGGTCCGGATACGCTCCATGGCGTCCCGGTAGTCGGACTGCAACAGCAGCCCGACTTGCCGGCCCTCCCAGTAACGGGCCCGATGGGCCGCACCCGCCAGGTGTGCGGCCACGGCCTGGCCTCCCACCAGCCTTTCTCCACTGTAAAAACGAAAGAAACCGCAGAAAGCACAGTGTCATAGAGCTCTTTTGTTGGGGGAGAGAGCTAGGAGCACTGCACACTTACCATTTGTCGCAATATATGATAAGAAAGAGGCGGCGCTTGACGCACCGCCTCAGGTGCTGGAACAGGGGTATTACCCCTGTCAGCTCCACACCGCAGTGGCAAGTGAACGCCATACTGTAAATGTAATGATACTGAAGTGAAGGTGTGAACCGCAAAGCAAGGCCTTTACCTTCTTCCTGTCGAATTCGCTCCCCAGCTGCATACCGACATCACCCGCTAAAATCCAATCATACCAAGTAATGCAAAGGTCATCAGTTGACCTTTTGGACTTTTCAACTCTTATCCAAAACCACCAAGAGGAAAAAACCAGGATGAAGAAGACGTCAGTTGTAGAAGCGTTTGTGGAGGAGTTGTTACATTATTCTCAGTAAATAGATATGGCTGATACATTCGGCGTAGACTTGGACGACCGGTCGTGGTCTCTCACCACGGGTCCTTTACTAATAGAAAGATGGACGCCAATAAGAACTGTTGTGGAGTTGGCAGATCAAAACGCGCAGCAAGAAATTTGGCACGTCGATGGTAGACTCCATCGGGAGGACGGACCAGCTCTTGTTGATAGTAGGGGAGTGTCCGCCTGGTGCTATGGAGGTCGCCTTCATCGCGTTAATGAACCGGCTTGGATAGGACGGGGTAGCATAGAGTACTACCTCAACGGCGCCCGTCATAGAGCCGGCGGTCCTGCAGTCAGTTATTATGACGCCACATGCGGTATTCTACGGTGGTATCACCACGGAAGACTCCACAGGTATGATGGTCCTGCAGTGGAAACATTTTCAGACCTTGGTGAAGACTCTGAGGGGTTCTACCGACACCGCGAAGAGTGGTATTGGAATGGCGTCAGACAAAGGATCGGCGACGGCCCTGCTCTGACGGAGAGATTTGATGGCGCCTATTTGCTGGAAGCCTGGTATGTCCAAGGGCGTCTACACAGAGTAGACGGACCAGCCAGGATCACTCGGAGTGATGATGGTATCACCATCCAGTGGTATTATCACGACCGGCTCCACAGGGAGAATGCGCCAGCCGTGATACGCAGGGAAGGTAACAACCGTGTACGGGAGTGGTACCGATACAACCTTCGGCATAGGGAAGATGGGCCTGCTTTCATCTCTCAGGAGGAGGGTATCTATCAGTGGTACCTCAACGGGGTGTATTACGGTGACCACCATCAAGACCAGGCAATACACCCCATGGAGCTGCAGTACATCAATGTAGTGCCTACTAAGGTAGACTCGTCAGCAATAAGTCATGAGCCCATTTGTGTGATTTGTCAGGATACCCTGGACCGTCCTCTATCCAAGTTGGAGTGTGGTCATGAATTTCACTTCCACTGTATCAAGGAGTGGATCAGTTCTGCCTCCAGCCCAACTTGCCCAACCTGCCGCTACTCCATGACTGCTGAGGACTTGGTTGAGTTCTTGTAGTAATACATGACACCGCTGCGTGTAGGCGACTACGAATGACCAGTCATGTGCTACAGATGGACACGGACACGCCACCCTAAGTAGCCATGAGCGGCT